TTCTTAAGTTACTTCCTCAAAACATGCTACATGCATATTTATAAAACAATATTTTATCAGTAATTACAAAATATTGGATACAAACCGACTAAGTTTTATTACATTTCATGTCTACCCAGAAATCTACTATTCATATACATACATGAACATTAAAATACAGAGACATTGTATTAACTATTCTAAATCTTTCAGCAGTATAAAACTATATTGGATACTCATCACCTGCAATTATTAAACATTGAGAGGGATAAGCGATAACGCTTAGTGAATTCAATAAATAGATACAATATAATCTTATGCCTTATATATACCAATATGATAGAAGCAAAAGGGAACAAGAACAACATAGCATATGCGTATCATATGTCAGGCTTTCAATATTAACTCAAGATTTGATTCAAAGATTTATGATCAATGAAACATAACGATTTCAATACTTGATATGCATCAATAAAGTTTTGGCCAAAATGGCACAGAAGACATATAATTTCTGATTATCAATATGATATATTTCAGGTTTTCACGCCCTGTTTAGCATTTCGGTAGATTTCAGGTTTTTACGCCCTGTTTAACATTTCAGTAGATTTCAGGTTTTCACGCCCTGTTTAACATTTCAGTAGATTTCAGGTTTTCACGCCCTATTTAATCTTCTGCCAATGCCATTTAAATATAAGGCATTCACTTACGGAACATGCTCTACATGGCCAGAGGCTTCGTACCATTACCAATGTGAATCTAAGTCTTTTCATTGATCACATGGTCAAAGGTATTACTTTTAATATCAAAATAGCAGAATAAAAATAACACGGAAAAATGACTCGGAATAATAACACTGAGAAACACATAGCACATATAACACATAAAATACAATTGTTCCTATATATTGAACTCACCTTAAATTAACCGGGGGTTAAAATAGTAATTTCAACAGCATTTCGGCTTTAAATATGATTTTCTATGTTGAAAAACGGGAGCTTAATTGAAAAACGGGCTCTGCGAAGGTAGGGCTTCAAAACCGAAAAGATAAAAATTTTGGGCTTCTCGGGGGTCTCGGGGCGTGTTTCGGGTGCTAAAATTGATACCAAGGCTTCGGGGAAAGTCAAAATGAAGAAAATATGGAAAAATGGGCCAAAAATGGCAATTTTCTAAAATTACCCGGGAAGGCTCGCAGGCCACCTATTTATAGGCGAGAGGCTCGGATCCGGAGAGGTAGGTGGCAGCAGCAGCGAAGACCACGCGGCGCAAAGGCGAGGCTTGGATGTGAGGGTCGGAACAGCTGGCGCCAGTCAACGAGGCAGGTGGCAGCGAGGGAGGAGGGACACGCGGCGCGCATGCGAAGGGCCATTTGTGCGGAGCTCGGATGTAACACGGAGCGAGGCGCGTCAGATGGGGATATGCTTCGGCCTCAGTCCAATTAGAAGGCAGCACACATCGGACGTTCGGACGCACAACGCATCAGCTTCATGCGAAGGACGTGCCCGAATCCGGACCTCTCATGCGAAATTTCTCGGATTTTGAGCCCCAAACTTCTAAAATCCATAACTTTTGCATACAAGCTCCGTTTTTTACGTACTTTATATGCACGCGTAGCTGAAATTACGCTCTACAACTTTTGTTTAGACATCGTCGACTACTTTTGAATTTATATTTAATATTATTATTTTTAACAGACCGTGACAGGAAAATCTGTTAAAAATTCATAACTTCTTCATCCGACATCCGTTTTCGTCAGACTTTTTACCGTTGTACTACAAATGACGAGACCTTCAATTTTCGTTTAGGTTGTGTAGACTAAAAATCACTCAATCTAAAATTCGAGTTTTTAGCTGTCTACTACTAAGTTGAAACTTCGAAAAATCATAACTTCCTCATACAAAGTCAGATTTTGGTATTCTTTTTATCGAATTTCTCGGTTTAACGAATACTTCGACTTTCATTTAGATCACTAAGTCTAAAAAGTTGTTTATCAAAAACTCACTTTTTACGTCATTCGGCACTGTGCCGGTTTTGTCGCGGATCTTCGGTTGGTCATAACTTCTTCATTATAACTCGGATTTCGATGAGGTTTTCACCTACAAGTTTCTAACGAGATGATTTAAAACTTTCAATAATAAAATTTTATATTTTCGCTAAATTTCACTATTTAGTTTTTAATTGGAATCTTATAAGACTTCCAATATTTTATGAGTGATTCTAAACATAGTTTACTTCGTTTATAGTAAAAAAAATAGTTGTTAGAACTCAACACTCAATTTCACATAGTATTTCACAATTTTATTCATTACAAAACACGATTTCAAAATGTGTATGTTACATATATTCAAATGATTGGAGTTAACAAACTAGATAAAAAAACACAAAACGCAACTAGTGGCCTAAGACTATTATTCAATAATTCAAAACATTAACCACAAAAGCATTTTTGTTTCATCAAAGAAACATCAATAAAATTGAATGAAAGATACACTTATCGCATTCAATAGGAAGCAAAGATCACAATAATGAAATAATAACTCCAAAATCTCTTCCTTCTTCTTTTTCTCTTATTTTAATCTTTGCATAAGAAAAGAGTAACCCTAATCCCTTACTTGAAGTTGTTGGTACTCAATACATGATCTTTATTTTTTATATTGATATAGAAATTATGGGATACACCTGTATCTACCAATGCCTTGGTGTATCCTCTATTTACCCTAGCATCCACGAACATTATCCTTCCTCTTTTAGTCTTATTCACTTCTATAGCACATAGTGCCTCAGCATCCCATTCATCCTCTACTTCCTTTTTGGAAGTTAATACATTGCTTTCCAAAGACTTTTTCTTTGACCAACAATCCTTGGACATGTGGCCCCACTTTCCATAATTGTTGCAGTTGCCTTCAAACCTCCTCCCCCGAGAACTCTTATTGTCGGTCTTTTGAGATCTCCATGGTTGTGAGGTTCCTGGCTAACTCTTCCCTTTGTCAGCATTTTTGTATCCTTCTTTAGAAGGTGGCTTGAAATTCCTCCAACTTTTACTTGTGTAGAGTGCTTCTTCTTCACTCTTCAACGTGATGCCTCCCATTTTCTTAGCCATAGCTTCTTGGCTAGTCAACAAATTTTCAAACTCTACAAGTGATGGTTGAACGGGCCATCGCTCATTTGCTCCAAACCATCCAACATCTAAATATGTTAGAAAGCCTCATAGAAAGCAAAGTGTGTAGTAGTCTCACAAAGTGTAAGTTCTCCTTAAGTATCTTAATATAAGTATTGTTGCTTCCCACACAAAGAGTCGTGTTCAACAATCTGGTATCAGAGCCAGGTTTCTTGATGGTGAGAACGAGTGATTATTGGTGTATCGTGAGTAGTTTATGACTCTGCAAGTTTAGTGTCAAAACTAGCTTGTTTGGAATTACCGAGGTACTGCCAACACGATGGGTGATCTCCAAGTTGTCGGAGGAATCAAGAAACTCGATAACAACAATTACAAAACGTGGGAAACATGTATGAAGTCCTACTTACAAGGACACGGTATATGGGAGGTCGTTGGTGGAAGCGAAACTATGCCACCAGAGGAAGACATTAATGGTGCTTTGCGCAAATGGAAAATCAAAGCAGGCAAAGCAATGTTTTCCTTGAAGACCACAATTGAAGAAGAGATGTTGGAGCATATTTAGGATGAGAACACCGCGAAAAAAGATTGGGACATGTTTGTGATGCTTTTCTCAAAGAAGAATGATACGAGACTACAACTTTTGGAGAATGAGCTATTATCAATCTCATAACGTGACATGACGATTGCTCAATATTTCCACAAGGTCAAGTCGATATGTCGGGAGATTACTGAACTAGATCCACAATCCTCTTGTCTTCTTTCTTCTGTTTGACATGATGCTCTTTGAAATGCAACGCAAATCTTTAAATACTCTTGTCTTCTTTCTTCTGTTTAAGCAATTTTAAAAGTATGTTAGAGTCACTCGTTTTTGCTATGTATATCGGTTATTAACACTACCCACAATGTTACGTGCATCAAAAATCCCTAAATAGCACTCAAGGTTCCTACTCCTACTTGTTAGAAAGGAGGGTTTGTTTTTTTTTATTGTGAATAGATTAACAAGCAACGAAATAATCAAATGAATGAAACTGGAAGGCGTGTTTAATATTTCACTTTGGAGAAGCATAGGGGATTGAAGGTGGTAAAGAAAACATCAAAGAATGAAACACCAGAGTACTTAAATATTAAAATCCATCCCGATCTCCAAGATTTTTGTAGTTTTCACATTATTTGATTTTTTTCTCTACATAAAGTCGCAATTTGTAATTTTTCACTAAATTGTGTATGTTATACTTTAAAAGCAATGAAATCACGAACAAAGGAGTAGTGGAGGTGAAATTTCATGGAAGCTAAGAACTCCCGGCCTGCCACTACTAGAAAATTTGAGCAATAGCTACAACATAATCCGTAGCTATTCTGTAGCTACGGAATTGCTACGGAAAATTGACTGTAGCATAATGGCCATTGGCTAAATTATAGTTACAGATTAGCTACAGAATAGCTACGGAAATTTCTGTAGCTACTATAACTACAGAATAGTTATGAAAATAAATAGCTACGGATTTCCTACGAATACTTACGGAACTAGATAGCTACGGAATAGATACGGAACTAAATAGCTATGAAATAGCTACAGATCCAAATAGCTATGGAATAGCTACGGAACTAAATAGCTACGGATCCAAATAACTATGAAAGTAAATAGCTACGAAAATCCGTAGCTATTCCGTAGCTAACTTCATTTTATTTAAAAAAACTAATAATTAAAAATTTTCCAATTTTTTGTCAAATACCACATTCAATTCACATTTGTCCCAAATACCATATAAAATACACCAAAAAAGGTCCCTAATACCAAGTTTGACACATTCCATTCCATTATCCAAAATACCTTACAAAAGTAAGCACTACTTAACAAAACAAACAACATCAAATGTTTACAAATTCAATTGTTCCAAAATACTTATCAATTGTCCTCAGGTGGATTATCGGGGGGAGCACGGGGTTGATTTCCAGACATATTCATCATCCTCATAACCATTTCCATTTGTTCTTTCATTTGTTGTTGTTGTTGTTCCATGGTAGAAAGTTGTGCATGCAACCTATCAACCTAAGAAAATGGCAACACAATGCAATAGTTAAACAATATTAGCAATGTACTTTAGTTTATTATCAATTTAATCAATATTATCAACAAACTACCTAACTTTTAACCATAATAGCAATGCACTTTTGTTTATTATCAACTTAATCAATATCATCAACATACTAATTAAGGTTTAAACCATAACAACAAACCTATTGTTGTGTACTATCCGACTGGGTGGATTGGGAAAATGGTCTCCCAGAACATACCTATTGTTATTCTTTCCTTTGCTCCTAAGTTGGGTTTCCTCCCATACCCCCACATCATGTTTATGGTTTGAAGAGTCTTCTTCGTGTTTTTTGACCATCTCCTATAGATATGCCTCCTACAAATTACCAAAACAGTATCATTGTCATGTACAAAAATACTAAGACAATCAATATACATAAATGATAAAAGATAAGTTACTTGTGCTTCTTTGGCAGTTAGTGAGCAATATTCGAGATTTTTATGATCTCCCGCAAAATATCTTTTTTTTGCCTCAATTGTGCCATGTGTCTTCATGAAAACATCAAATTGTGTGGGTGGTTTACCTATCATCTTTTCCTACATAAAATACAAAGTATAGTTGATGTAGTTAGTGTTAAAAAATTAAGATAATAAAATTTATAATTATGATACTCACTAAGTTGTTATGGTGCTTGCCAAATCCTATACTACCCGCGGTGTGCCTAGCTGTTGACCCATTAGCATCTGCGACGTTGCGGTTCTGCTGAGCAATATTTGAATTCTTTCTCCACTTATCTGTCGAACAATGATGTGAAAAGAAAAAAAATATAAGCATACTAATACAATAGGAAATTAAAACTTAACAAAATAGATAATAAAGTATCATATCCATTACATCACACAAACGTAGCCATGCATTCCTCGGTACGCACTCGGGGCGGTAGTTATGCATCCCTTCATAGTAGGTACAATGACATGGGGGGATGGTTTTCCCATCATTTCATGCCATGTTCCCATATTTCATCCTAATACGCTTCATTCGATCCTTGTATCTATCCTTGAGGACACACTTGAAGGCATCAAATATGTTACTATTCTCTAGTGAATTCCACCTGCACACGTTTTGTAAAAAAATAAAAAGTAAATCTAAAAATACAAAGTAAAAACAAATGAGTATAAGATACAATAATTTATATTTAATATATTTCCTTGAAACACGAAAACATCTGCAAAAGAGCCTCATAGTGAATATCACTAAACCGGGGCCACATATGATCCATCTTCTCCCAATAGAGACTAATACACGTGATGTGGATTTTCCTAGACCCAAACCCACATTGTAAAGAACTATATAAGTAGAATTTTAACATCAAAAATTAAAGTTTTAAAATATAAAAACACTAAATTTTTCCCTTTTCGGTTGATGAGGGACAACGAAGACTCCTGAAAATCACTTGCATTCGAGTCGTGACCGCCCGTAACACCTCTAGAGGTGGAGACATGCGGCGTCGGTGGCGTGTTTGGTGGCCGTGGCGTGTGCGGGGTCTGTGGCAACTGAAAGGTTGTTTGTATATCTGCACCCTCAAAATAGTACTCCTCAAATCCATCACGACCACCTGGCCTCAAAACCGCTTGTGGGGTCGCCAACTCAACACCTGTATTTGGAAACTGGGGAGTATAACCCATTTGTGGGGATTGGGGCCTATAAAACGTCTGTTGGAGTTGGGGCCTATAATCTATCTATATGAGTTGGGACATATGACCCAGCCCTCGGGCCTAATGGTGAAGAATCCCAGCCAAGTCTACTAAAGGATTAGCCATGTCGGTTTGTTCATTGATGGCACCCTGACTGTTGGAGTCTGCGACTCCTGTCACTATCAGCATATCGATCAAAATGAGTGATGTCCTGAAATGTGGCTCGTCTGTAGAATTAGGGGATAACCCTCCCCCACTCCTATGCCCCACACTGCTAGAAGAAGTGTTGGCACTGCAACCTTTATCCTTGCGTCAATTACTTGACATCCTGCATTTAATAGAACAAGAATGGTCAGATATATAATATAAGATTGATAAGTCATGAAAAAACAAATGTTTAAAACAACGGGATATCCAAATCAAAACCAATAACAAAACAACGTTTAAATAGTACAATAGTCTTCAAAATGACAATGATCCTAACATCAACAAAAGACAATGCTCCTAACATCAACAAAAGAAAATGCTCCTAACATTTGTCCCCATCATATTCATGTTCAAATTCTTCTTCTGAATAATAAAACTCGTTTTCTTCACCTCCGTCTTCAAAATCTTCCATTTCTTCGTCTTCCTCCTCAATTCTCTCATTCTCTTCATCAGATATTTGCTCATACGTATTTATAGTTGAGGCTAGGCACAATCTTTCCACATGAGTTACAGTAAAGGGTGACTCAAACCGTTCTTCAACCTGAAAGACTTCATCTACTTCCATGTAACGCCCGTAGATCCGGGCTAGTCAATTTAGAGATAATAGGGGTCGAAAACGACTTTTCGAAAAAAGATTATATAAAACAAATAATCTTAAACAAGTTTTAGAATATGTCTCAAGGGTCCATACATATAAAGAACACCGAAATCTGAGTTATAACGAAGAAGTTATGGCCCGTCGAAGTTTTATGGCAAAACCAGCACGACACCGGGAGACGTAAAAAGTGAATTTACGATAGAAGACTTTTTAGCCATAGAGATTTAAACCAAGGTTGTAGTATATGTTAAATCGAGAACATCCATAAAAAGAACACCCAAATCTGACTTCGTATGAGGAAGTTATGATTTTTCTAAGATTCGGCTTAGCAGTGCACGGCTCGAAACTCGAATTTTAGTTCGAGCAATTTTTGGCTTACACAATCTTAATGAGAGTTGAAGATCTCATTAATAGGAACTCAACCATAAAAATACAGACGAAAACGAAGTCCGTATGAAGGAGTTACGAATTCTTCGTGGTCATTTAACAATCTAATTTCCTTCTACTGTTAAATTTAAGATCGGTCGAGAGTTAGCCGATAGAGTCTAAATGAAAGTCATAGATCTTGTTTTTACCTATGCGTGGAGAAAAAGAACGTCGAAAACGAAGATTTTATGCAAAAGTTACGGGGTTTAGAAGTCGGCAGGGTGCTGCTGCAAAAGAGGTGACATGGCTGAATAACGGCCAAGGCTTTCTCCCCAAGGCAAGCCACCAGAGGGTGACACCTGGCATGGAATCGATGAGTAGGAGTACCTACTCGACGAGTAGAGCTATTTTCCAACCTATAAATAGAGGTGTGGGGCTCCCTCATTCTTCACACCTTCCTAACTTCACTTTCTCTCTCTAAACTCTCTCTCAAACCCCCCAAACACCCCAAAGAGCCTAGGGAACCTTCCTAGCACCCGAAGGAAGCCACAAGGCTCCTAGAGTCCTGAGAAAAGAGCCTTTCGGCTCGGAAACGCTGCTCCAGCGAAGCCCGATTTTGAGAAAAACCCGTTGTAAGTGAGCTACGCCTAACCTATCTTTAGTATAGCTTATGTTTTAATATAGTAACATTATTAGGAACTTATAATGAGTATTTGGGCTATTATTATGAGTAATATAAGAGTGTTTCTTAACGCTTATATAATAGTAATAATATCTATACTATTAATTAGTCACAATTAACGTTAGACTAAACTTTAGTGGTAATGATACTAGGTTTTGTCCGAGGGAAATTGTTTTAACAGTAACGAAGTGCTGTCCGAGTACCAAGTCATCACCTTAACAAGTGAGGGCATGTTTACTTTCATCTTACACATAGATACGAAGTATTTTATATAAACTACGTGTTATGTGTGAATATTATCTGTATAATTACTATCTATACTGGATGAACGATTTTATACATGTTTCAAATGATTTAAACTGTATATGTATTTTATATCTACAATAATGTTGGGGTAAAACATGGGTAGATGTAATAGATGGAATATGAGTTGGATGATGAGTTGATAGGTGAAATAGACCATAAGGTGAGGGTGAGAGGTAGACGATGTGAGAATCCTTTTTCCCAAATGATGGCCCCATCATTCAGCAGAGTATAGATGACAACCACGGACTATTCTAGACAGTCCAGTGGAGCACTAACAGGATCACAACTTGTAGGTGTTGTGAACGATGTGTTCACCGGTGTACGCTAAAAACCCATTGACATATATTGCGAGTGGATACTGTCGATAAACGAAATAGCCCTGGAAGCTATGGATTTAGTGCCCATTGAGCAAACCCTAGCAGCTATGGACTTAATGCCCGTTGAGTAAACCCTGGCAATGATGGATTTCGTGCTGGTTCCTTAGGATGATCCTTAGGATTGAATTAACGAGGAGTAGTTGATTCTTAGGGTAGACCCTTAAGAGTAAAGAAGATAATGGGGATGGGTAATCGTGTTATTGTTGATTAATGAAATTAATAAACTTATATTATTGTGGGTTGAAAACCCTATGTAATCACCAGGTTTCCCAACCCGACCTACTCAATTTATTTATATCACAGGTGTCGATATGAAGTCACATTACACTGAGAGATTAATGAGATTGATTTGGGCATATTTAGTTACAAAATTCATGCATTATCTTAATACTTTTTGTTGATTTTATCTCATTTAATGAACAAAAGGTGCTTAATTAGTTTATAATTTCATTTTCTAGCAACAATTACATGATCGGATGGAAAAGGAAGCGGAACTAGCGATTGGAAGCTTGGATCTTGAATTTTTGAAGAAGGAAGGATGTTGCAAGACAGATTCACCCCTCGTCAGTGTTTTGGTCATATCTCATGAATCGTAATTCCGATTGACGAGATTCAAAATGTTCTGAAAACTAGACACAATTTCAGACGACTTTCGTGTTTTGAGAAAATGCTGATTCCAAATGGACTCGCTGAGTAGGCCATCAACTCGGCGAGTTGGTCAGAAGTTTCGCGATTCTTGACTTTGCCTTGCCGTACACGGAATTTTAAGTGATGGACTCACCAAGTAGGTCACTGTACTCGCCAAGTAGCCCTGGTTTTCATAAAATATATATAGAAACGCTTCTCATTCGAACCCGAACGAATGGGGGAAGTTTAGGATGATGTTTTAGGGCCAGAAGGGTTCTTAGAAGCTGTGGTTTTCGAGATTTCAACTTAGATATTAATTTGGAAGAAGATCAAAGGCAATAAAACACTACTTTTGTCTTAATCTTTTGCATAAACCATGTTTCAATCATTATATTATGTTTTTAGTTTGTTATTTGCTGTAGATATGAGCTAAAAACTCATAACTTCTGTTTAGGGTAGATGATTTTGTGATTATGGTTTGATTTTATGGTATGATTGATTTAATATTGGTGATTTTGTTGATTTTAGATTGTTAAAGAACCTTATGTGTGATTGAAAACTATTTTTCTGTTATTAGGAAGTTAATTAAGCTGTATGAACATCTCTTAATTGCTACCTCATATAATTTATGTGACCACTTTGTTATATGACTAGGATTAATGACTGTGAAACTAGAATTAATAGAAAAATAGGTAAAATCATGTATGAGCTTGTGTGGTGACCATCAACAAGAGGTTGACTAAAGGACCAAATTAGTTAATCATTACAAGTCCAAATTAACCCGAATAAATAACTTAGTGAATTGAATTAAATTAGACAACTGGCCACTGTTTGAGTTAGTTTGTTCTCTAAGGATTAGTGCAGCGAACATGAATCTAATCACTTGAATCGGTAGCCAATAAAAGAATTAATTCATTGCACTATTACCATAATATCAACCATAGGATCAATTGAGTTGAACTAAACAAAAGTTCCCTTCGTTATTGAATTTAGTTGAATATTTGCTTATCTAATTTTTAGTTAAGTAGTCTAAGTATTAGTTGATAAGTTTCTAGTCTTGCAAAACTAGAGAAACCCCCTTTTTATTACTTGTTTTATTTAGATAATATTGGCATTTATTTAATTGTTTACCATTCTCTGTGTTCGATACCCTACTTACTTGAACTATATTACTAATCGATAAGTACACTGCCTTTCGTGTGTTTATTTTGTGTCTAAGTTAGTAGGATTAAAACTAGTTGGTTTTTACACACATCAGAGATATATATCACTAGTGATAATGAATGTAAGTTTTGTTTACGCTTATGTTTCTATATTCACGATGACATCCCAAATGTTTTAATATGAATAAAAAATACTTTTCTTCGGAAATGCTTTGATAACGTATTTATCATGTTTTACTGGGAACAAATTCCGCATCATTTTTATTAAAAGAGGAACTCTGATTTTCATAAAGCATAAACAAAATCGGTCTTTTCTGGCCGTGAAAATGGGGATGTCACATTCCATTTCAGCTTCAGTGACTTCAAATACCCCTCTTGGCTTTGTTTTGATAACCGCCCACTTATCTTTCATCTTATTTGTCATTGAAGGGTATGGTGTATACAACACTTGTTCACTTTATGACGCCAAACAAAAAGGATCGTCAGTTTGAAGTCGAGATTTGGGTTTGACATCAACCAACTTGTTTTTGTTGACTATTACACCGCCTTTGTTATCAAACCAAATACAATTAAACAGTACAACAGTCGACGGTCTGCTGCTATAATACTCAATCTCTAAGATCTCTTGCAATATGCCGTAGTATTCTGACTCTTTTTCGGCATTTATACTTCTCCCCTTTCACACATACTCCAAAGTTATTTGTCGCACGGCCCTCTCCGTATTCTTGAGTGTAGAACTTATAACCATTTACAAAATACCCATTATGAAAACAAGCATGTCTAGATGGTTACGTAGCTATAACTTCTAAGTGTCTAGAACTTCCATTGAGTGTCTTATACATTATCCACATTGAAAACATACATACATTGTGTTGGTTAATGATGCATTAATAATAATCAATACGATTGAACTGGTTCTACTTACTCTATCATCAAACCATTCAGCAAAGTATTTGTCTCTTAAATCAGAAACTGATTCATTTGGATTTGTTCTCATGACCATTTCATCAAACTCGATGATGTAAGGGTTAACTTCTTTACAATTAAGTAATATGTACGTGTGCGCCTTGTGAAGGACTTTATCACTTAAGGGTTGTCATTTTCCACTTTTTTCAAATAACCTTCTTGATGGGACGACAAAGATGCTAAGTGGAGCTCCACCACTCGAAAACCTGTGACTTTGTGGTGCAAAATTCTGTGCTTCTCGATTATGGCATGTCTCAATCGTTGGGTCAAAATATAACGAACAATAGGTAGCGAGTTCATTCACTAGATGTTCATTGACTATTGAACCCTCAACTCGTGCTTTGTTCCTGATTCTTCTTTTAATTATGCCAAGTTTCCTATATTATAATGTATGGACGATGTGTTAGGAATACCAGAAATAACTTTAAAAATGTTATATATAATATTAAAACAGGGATATTACCTCTCATATTGGTACAT